GAACTCCATAGATATTCAAATTTTTGAAAAAAAACATGTTTTTAGTGACCTTGGCTTGATGTAATTTAACATATTTACACTTGTTCTAGTGTAGGTTTTAACATTGTCAGTAATATTTTTAAAACTAGGGATTCTCTATGCAAAGAACATTGCTTAAATATAGTATATGAATTTCTTGCCTTTGCAAGTGAAACAAAGGCAGTTCACTGCAAAATACAAGTTGCATCTTGTATGGGTTGTAAGCTGCAAATTTATGCTAAAGTTTGTCTAACCATAGTTTCAGCTAGTATGCCACTTTCATAATTTTGCAGAACACTTGCAACAAGTTTGCAGAATACCAGTTAAGAATCACTGCTCTACACAACAATCTGGAAGTGTTAAACCTTAGTAAAAACACGACACTACAGAAAGCTATATTATTGAACAGATGTTACATTGTTAAGAAATTTCTAGACAAGGACACATACACCAATAACACAGAAGCTTAATGTTACACTTGTTTAGATAGCTATGCCTTGACTTTAGACTGGCATAGCACTTGGCACCAATATTAGCTGAGCCTGACATTTGTAATATAATAATAATAATGATATTAATTGAGTTTATATTAAAATTACTAATTGATATTCAATAAGGAGTATTAAAAATAAACTGATAAAAGATTCTGCACAACTATATATTGACTGTGACTAAGAGAGGTATGAACTTGTAATGTAGTTGACAAATAAGAAAGCAGATATTAATATGAGAGTTTGAATTTAAATAATAAATACAAGCATTGCAGTTGCAGCTTTTTAACTTAGAAAATAATATGTCATTCTTTTTGTTATAATTCTAAATTTTTAAACCTAATAAATTCACAAATACATAGGTGTCCCCTCAAACCTCCATAGTTTTAAACTGTTCTGTAAAATCTATTTATTCAGGTTTGTGAATAAAATGTGTCCGATAATGTTAGTCAATACTTTCATGTGCACATGCTAGAAAGGGCTGTTGCTGCCATTTGATGGTGATGTGAGAACCGAGGGGGTTAGTTGTCTCCACTTACTGGTGGCTCTGTCAGAGGATGTCTTTATAGGAGGGCAAAATAAAATGAGTGGGGGAGGTTAATGGGTAAGTTGACAGGTTCCCAAATAAATACACAGGTTGAACAAGAATAACACATTTAATAAACAACTATAAAATTGTACATATCAAAGGCGAAGGTGAAGAGCTACAAAAATTCTATTCTATGTCGCAACAATGATTTGTCTTTCATATGGAATATCTAATCTCTATTCTCTAAATTAAATTAAGAGACGAGAGAGAGACCTCTCGGAGAGACTTCTCAGAGAGTATACAAATAGATATCTAAAAAAATACCTCTAAGTTCCCGATCTGTAATATAAGTTGTTGGTAAAAACGTTCCTGGATTGTCATGGCAGTTATGGCGAGGTAGCGACAGATAGGGTGGTGTTATGGGTCAGTAGATGTGGCAGTCGATGTCTGCCCTGGAGGTGTCCGCCGCCTTGTGGACTGCATCCAAGCCCTCTTTATACTATTTTTGAGGGGGTGAGAACTATGACATCATTAATGATTTATATGCACACCTGTTCATGTGTTGATGTCTGGATCTAGCTAGTACGGACCACTGGTACAGAGAAGTTTGTTTAACTTATTGATATCAGTGTCTAGAAGATATGATTTTATAATATAAATTTCTATAGGTTTGATGGATCTCATCCATAAATTAACATTCAGCTGACAATAATTTCTGTAAACTGGTCAACAATCTAGATATTGTTTATGTTAAACGTTGCGTTTGATTACGAACAAGGCAATTTATTGCTGTAACCACATGTCATGTGCAACCAAAGAGGGGATAGGAAACATTTCTTATTCCCGTCTTGTTGATATTAACGTCTACAGAATTACCTTTAAACAAATGGAGGAGATTTCTTTTATTGATATACTAACAATTTTTTTCAAGGAGATCGTCTCGGTCATCGACCACAGAAGGCCCCCTTTTTCCCTTTTCCCTAATAAACCTCCCTAATAAACCTCTCCCTCTCCCTAATAAACCTCTCCCTCTCCCTAATAAACCTCGTAATCACAAGGTTTATTAGAGGGGTGATACTGTTCTAAAACAAAAGGGTTTTGGACCTTCACAGTAATCTGTACCTCTGTTACCATACAGTATAGATTACTGGATTGGTCAACACAGTCCCATTTCTTTGCCTACCCAATCATTTGACATCAGCCCTTTGAACTTTTTTTTGGTGGATATGTCAAGGTTTGCATGTTTGCTACAAAAGTGTCAGACATTAAAGCCCTGCATACAAGAATTAAGAATGCCATTAACTCCTAAAACTCACAGGCTGATTTGGACATGGGTTGAAATCAAGTAAAGATTATGGATTGAAATCAAGTAAAGATTGGATATTGTATGTACCACATCAGGAGCACATGTTCAAATGTACTGATTTAATATAGTGTGTCACTTTTTCAGATGCACTTTCTATTACCATTGTCTACAGTATTATAGTCACCTTTCTTTTTCCAATATTAATCCATAAAACTAGAGAGATTTGAGGAGAATACCCTATATTTTTAACAATTGTACAGTATGTATAAATTTTAAAACAAAATAATTTAAGACGGAAAAATGGCAGTTATCAATGATGTACACTATAAACTGTCAGAAAACTATCTCAGTTATTTGTCATTCTAAAGAAATTTAACTTAAGTGATTCTTGATATATTTGAATTATTTGTGTGATGTTTTACTCAATTTAAACATATTTATTGAAAATTTTATACAAGCTATTAAAGTTTTAAATGCAAGTTTATTTTATTAAAATAAAAAAATCATAACCATGTCATATTTGCTAAAAAAATAAATAATAATACAGTAGAGTCCTGAAAACTCAGCACTTGATAACCTGGCAGTCCGGAAAACTCGGCGCAAGCTGTTATCCTCCCTTCTTTCTGCAAACGATGATGGTCAAGGTCTTATCCAGAACTTAAAGAAAATTAATCTATTGGATGTTGTTTGCTGGGTGACATACGCCTGGAACAAGTTAGTGTCATTAACACTAATTCGTTCCTGGAGAAAACTCCTTGATTATGAGGGAAATGAGTTTGTTGAACATGATGATGCAGAAATTGTAAACTTACTCGACCTCCTGAAAACAGTTTTTGGATGTGCAGAAGCCGATGAAAATGATGTCGAACAGTGGTTCCAGAATGATACCGAGCAAGACATTATGTCTGATGCAGAAATTATTGCTGCTGTCACAGTTAATGAAAAAATGTCGGAAAATGATGAACATGTTGACATTGAGGATTCTACTGTACAAGCTCCTAAAATACCACATAGTGAGGGATTAAAGACTGTTGAAACCGCCCTTCAGTATTTTGAACAAGGTGCGTCAATAATGGACTTACTGTTCCTTTGTTGTCTTCGTGATGAAGCAGCAAAATGCAAAGTGCATTGCAGAAGACAACAGGACATTACGCATTTCTTTAAAAAAAAGTAGCCAGTTTTTGCAAAGTTGACTAGTTAATTTTCATTATAGACAGTTTTATGCCTCAAAATATTTTTCTGAGGTCTGTGTTATCAGTTAAATTACTTTACACTGTGTATTCATTAATTTTCATTTTCATGTAGTAAAGGCTCTGTCTCTTCATAAAGTACATATTTTTCCTTTGTTTAAGGGTATTTGGGTTTATTCTCTGTTGTATTCTCAAACAAACAATACATACAAGTATAGTACAGTATTTTCTGAAGAAACACTCTTACTTATTCTTTTTTAACCCCATTCCCAATAACCCGGCATTTTCACAAACTTGGCCACTCTTCGGTCAACATTAGGCCAAGTTTTTGGGACTCTACAGTACCATCAAACCAATTTAATGGAACAAAAGACCCAATTCACCAATTCATTAAAATCCATCAAGAATTATTTATTTTTTGTTGTATTTCTGTATCATAATATTCTTACAATGATGTTGAAAAACTTTTACTTTCAACATTTAACTAAATAGTTTAATTAAATTCTATTCATCATTTAGTTAAACTGAATTTAACTAGGTAGGAAACAAGGACTGGTCATTAATATTTACCAATATTTTTACCACAGCAATTTTAACTAGTGATGATGCATTTAATTAAACTCTTATATTGTTAAATATATTTCAAATATATGAGAAATGATCTTAATAAATGCAAAATCTTATCATTCTTCAAACCTTAAACATCAATAACAAACAACTGGTAATTATTAGATAAAATCACAGTATCTGAATATTTTTTCTGTAAAATTCTAAATTGATATTCTCGTTTAAGGATAAATTATATTCTGTAATGAGCTTTAATGTTAACATTTTGAAAAAAGTAGTTTTATAGCATTATTATAATTTGTGATAAATAATTTTAAATGGAAAAGAAAAGAAAAAAAGTACAGTTTTCGTGGGCATTTCTTTTTTTCTAGCACGTGGCTTAACATGACTAGAATGAAATTTCTAAATAATTTTAAATGGAAAGTAAACATACAAAGTTTTCACACATAAATTAACTTAAAAAAAAAATGACAAATCAAATATAATAAAAGAAAAATTGCAATATCAAACAACTATAGTTTATCAACTATAAAAAAATCTGTCACATTAGATTTTATGGAATTTTGCACATAATCAATCATGCGGAGTCCAATGTTTTACTTACTTGTTAGTTAATTAAACGAATATACATTAACAATCAAAATGTCCAAAGTTTATGGAAATTGCTTACGAAATAAATTATATGGAATTGTTTAAACAACAGAAAATTTACGTGTCATCAAATTAAAACACGCACAACGTAAAATATATTTATTAAATATCCATTTTAATTCGATTTTTTTAAATATAAAACAGGTATATTTAAATATAAGAAAATGACATCTGTCATATATTTATAACACGAATCTTAAAACCGGTTTATTTGTTTCCAACTTGAAATAAGAACATGAAGACTTTACCTTTGTATATAGTATTCTAGTTGTCATATCTGATTTAATAATTTTCAATTAATATTACTTCTAACCACACTTTTTTTCATTTACAAATCACTCCCGGTCAGAAAGCCGACAACATTTTACCACCACATATCGCCCCCTAGCGATTGAAGATTCGAAGCTCGTGATGTGTGTGTTATACTCCTCCATAACGCGGAAAAGAGTTTCTATTTAAAATTAAGTTCAACAACACTAAACATTCTTCGTGTAAAAACCAGTTACATATACCGTTACGGTAACTTGAAAACAAAATGATTATCGGAAATCGCTATCTAAATAATCCAACTGGAAAATGAAAAGGCCAAAATCAAATTACTGTCTTCCCTATAAATTTCCTTTTTATTTAATATAAAATACAAAACATACTTTTCTTTTTAATGGAATTTTTTATGTCGTGTTTATATGCTTTTCCTTTTAAATATNTAACTTCTTTAAACGATGGTGAACAAAACTGTTTTTGGAAAGATCAATTACGGTTTTTAAAGTAGTTAATATTATGTTTGAAACAAAATGATGAAAAGACAAACATTAAATCAAATTAAGTAAATTCTGTAAGAATTCACAGTTACGAATTGTATTGCAGTTATTAAACTTATTTACATACCTCAAATTTGAATGTTAATGGGAGATTTGCAGAAGAAAACTTTTCAATACTTATGAAATTATCGTACATCTGACAAAAAATAATATAGATTATTGTATGAATTTACAGGAAGATATTAAATAAAGTAGCAATAAAAACTTAAAAATCGTTAATGTTTTGTAACTTTTCAAATTGATTTCTATAAGTGTTCCAGTTTATGTCGTAAAAAGCAAAAGATTTCAAGAGAAATAAGCAAAAGTTTTAATTTTTACGTAAACATTTTTATTCGATAAACTACGTAAATATGTTTGTTTCTCATTTGCCTCATTACAGAAGTTCTTGTTAATATAAAGTTATATTAGTTACGCCATTTGGGACGTGCCTGAAATAAAATCGTTTATCTCTGTATTTACTTTACTTTTTGCAGAGAACCTCTATTTACCTTCTGGTTCATTTTCGTAATCTTCACTGTCTTTTTGTTGCACATTTTTCTCATCATGGAGATATTTGTCCAATTGCAAAACGCAATTGTTCAGTACAATGTAGCTGGCTACAATGATTGTATTTGAAATTGAATATGTGAAAATTCAGTCTCAAATCATTCTTAGAATTTCTCGTATGCTTGCTGTAAACATACACGTGTTAAAATTAATCGTTTGTTGAAGTGTTTTTATTTTCAGGCATAAATGGACACCAAATGCATAAACGATACAAAAAGAATCGATGTAATCGTCATTGTACGGATATTAATAATGCGTACTTTGCAAGCACACATCAATATCTGTACAATATCCGTTATGTTCTCTGTGGGCCCATCAGTGGCCGAATGTATAATTCCGCTGAACAATTGGTAGTTGGTCGTGAGTTCGCGTCTCATCAACGGGCTAGACATGTGGACTTTCCTGGTGTTCTTCGCATTAGTATTTACGGGGAGCATCTTCTATCCGCAAATGTCCCTTTTATCGCATTCTCATATTCGAATAGACCAGACCTTTATATATCTGCTGTCTTTTAGACCTGTTTCGTTTTCTTAAAATGGCCATTGTGTCCATTGTTTTGTAAATTCAAATTGAATATCGCCATATGCACGCGCCATCTGTTGCAGCGCGTACGCCTGCCTGTGTACATATTGCACATTTATGTGTGTATAGTATACAGCTATAAGCTGTGATAAAACAATAGTGTAAACGTTCTGATATTTGCAGAAAAATACGTTTCACTGCATGTTTTTCAAAACGATTTTATAACTAGTCACATGTTGTTCTTGTCTTTATGAATGTAATGTTTTTGACAAACGACTATATTCAATAGTCAATGTTAAGAATGACGATGAAAAACATTAATCAAAAATCAATACTTTAAAAGCATACATTTATAAAATATGAGACTTTGACATAAAATATATACAGTTTTGTAAATTGTTAAAACAAAATTATAATTTCATTAAAAAAGATGTTTATTGTGTAAAATATTAATAAAAATATTTAAAGTAATAAACAATATATTAATAAAGTGAAAAATGCTAATTTGTTTCTCTAAATACTCTTATATTTTACAATATTATGACCACATCGCATATACAACATTATATCGATGTATGACCTCAATATTTTAATGAATAAACAAATTATGAAGAACACACAGTATAGGAATTTAAGTTAGAACATAAAAATAACACATAAAAAGAATAATAAAATTATTTTTATAAATATAAGTAGATAAATTTATAAATCTATTAATTATTGAAGAACTTCTAACTTAACATCTAAAAAATTAATACAGTAGAGCGTCGTTTATCCGAATCAACTGGGGACTGGGGTTGTTCGGATAACTTATTTTTCGGGTAACTGATTATGTACGAAAAAATATCCCATGTTGAAATTTTTCTCCGTTGCGTGTCGCTTTGCGTTGAATTTTCGTCGATGTTAAGCCTAATGTAAACTTTTTAAAATAATAATCGTAGCTATTGTATCGTTAAAAATGATTTCTTTATTTTTTACAAACAAAATAAATATATTGAAAAATATAAAAAGAAAAAAAATTATACTTTAGAAGTTATCTAGTATAAAAAACGTTCGATTCAGCACCACACACAGAGTCCTCAGAAAAACACCACACAAAAGTGCCAGTCTGCCAGCTAAAACACACATCAACAAAAAAAAATATTGGCGTAGCCCAAGATATAGCCAAAGATTGCAGCGCCACAGCACTAGCGAAAATTTAAATTTGCTGACTGGAATTCTTTCGGATAAACGACGCTCTACAGTATAAAAGTTTAAAGAATCAAACAAGAAGTAATGATAACATACCATCGATGTCAAATGAGAGAGAGCCCAGCAGATAGTAATTAGTCCAAACAGAAGAAGTAGCGATATTATTGCAGCAATAATTTTCAATATTGGGTCTAATTTCACAAATAATGTTGTGTACCAAGTGAAAGAAGTCGAGTAGAGAAAACTCGTATAAACAAAAGGCAAAAAAAAAATCCCATTCTTCGTTAATCATTTTCCAAAATCCCCAAAGTTCAATCTGGTTTTGGAAGTTTTTATCTAGTATCTTCTGAAGGATAAGTTTTTAACAGTTATTTCCGCCATTTCTTCGGACAGCATCAGATATCTTTTCTCCATTATGAATACTAACGTTGAACATATAGAAACAAGATAAAAAATTTGACCTGCAGAATAAATTGACCATAAAGTGTAAATAAAAGACACAAGAAATGCCTCTGTGTCTGATCCGTTTTGCTTCTTTATTTCAGCATAAAATGTAATTCCGGACTCCACAGAAATCGTGATAAATAAGATGAATGACAGACATAACAAATGCAATGAGTACTCTTCTATGGTGTCGATTATTTTCCATTCCTCTGGATAACTGCAGGGGATGCAATGAAAGTGGATTTTCCTTCGTTTCAGTATACTGAACTGCACTGCAATGTATACTGTGAAAAACGCATATAATACCGATGCTTCCAATGTGCAATTTCCATACGTTTTCATAACTCTTACAAAATAAAAATTGATATTGTATAACATCATCAGAGTTGTGCAAACCATCATCCAGAGAAATACCTCTACAAATGAAGTGTACAACTCAAACAATACTAACCGTAAATAGGCTTTTGCTGTTTTCTCTTCTTCTACGCATGGACACGGATTCCAATAAAATAGACCAAATACCTTTCCTGAATTAAGTATCGGAGCCAACATGTACCCCATACAACGTTGTTTTTGTCGATGTGATGACATTTTTTACTTGAATAAAAAGGATTGTTTTGAGTTTACCAATATTCAGTCTTTCTTTGGAGAAAATTTTACTTGGTTTGTATGAAATTTTTACGTATTGTTACGGTAAATTGCTATGGCTACTAATTAATTCGTTTTAAAATTATAATCACATTTATTAAATGCAGTTTAGATTATTTCACTACTAAATATAAAAAAAATCATTCTTAGTATGTGATTATTTATTAATATTTCCATATACTTGAGAATTTATATATATTATGGTGTTTACTTCGGTAATTGAAAATTATTATTTCAATATAATGAATTCTTCATTATTAAAATTAAAATTAGTTGAATGAGAAGTTCATTTTAGAACAGTGAAAAATTGGTGTATTGATTGTACAGTACTTAAGATTATTCAGGATGTTCAGTGATCGGAAAGTGATAGATTAATTCGAGAGATTTGGTATATGTTGATACTTTTCTACCTTACCGTAAATTGATAGAATGGGGAAGTTGATATAACACAAAGCAAAGGCAAATTCAACGTTCAAATAAGCTTGATAATAACCATTCTTTTGACATACTAAATTGGAATTGTCAGGGTCTAAAAAATGAAACTTCAGTCATCAACTCTCTGCACACTAGATATAATCCGGCTATTATTGGCATAACGGAAACTTGGATAACAACAGAAAAATATTATTCTACAAATTTCTGGAATAAATTTATAATTGAATCTTCTAATGCAAGAACCAGTAGGTCCCGGAAGACCAAGTGGTGGTTTATGTTTATTGATAGAAAGGGAATACTGTAAAATAATTCAAGTTAAAAAATCAAGGAACTATATTCTACTTCTCATTGCAATAATTGGAAATAAAAAATTAAATAAGAATAACCAAATAATGATGATATTATTAACTTATATTCCTCCCGGTGATTTAAATACTCTAAATGAAATCTTTAAAGTTATAGATTCATGGTACTATATAACCCCATATATTATTATATTGGGCGACTTCAACTCTAGAATTGGAGAGAAAATGGATTCCAAATATAAGGGACCAAATCATTTAATTAATAATAGTCGAACATCAAAAGATAAACAGGTTAATAATTTGGGGAACAAGCTACTAGACTTCATAAAAGAAAACAAACTCTATATATTGAATGGTCGTATTAAATCCGATTCTCCTGCAGAATATACATGCTTAACACATTCGGGGAAATCAACAATTGACCTCACAATCTGTTCCGAACTACTACTAGATCATTGTACGAATT